ACTAGTAGCTGGTGGTGAGGCGTTGCCTTTTCCACTAACAAATTTTGCTTCTTCCCTATCACTTGCTTTAATCGATCCACCTCTTTAGGTGTGTTCCCATCCGAATCAGGGATCTCTACGTTCTTCAAGTTAATGCCTTCTAAAGAGGGGTCTTCTCCTGGTTTTATTTGCCACCATTGGCTTATTTATCCGGCCCAGAGTCCTCCTCTCTCGAAGGTGCGCACTTGGTCTTTGACTTGTTCTAGGTCCTCATGTTTCGTTCTTGCTTCAGGGACACCGGCCTTCATGGGCTAAGTGACCATGGCTTCCATCGGCTGAGTGCCGGCGGCTTCTAATGGGTGGGTGACGGTAGTCGTTGCTTAGCATGTTGGTGACTCCTCCACTGGCAGCTGTTGGGGTGAGATGCCAATCCCCGGGGTGACCTCTCGCGGTCGCTGCAAAATAGGCAGAAGTGTCTCAAACTGAGGTTATTCCTCTTACGGTCCCTCGTCTTCCTCCATCAGGTCCGATTGATGGTCTTCCTGCTCGGTGGTAGCTTCGTATGCCAAATTTCAACACTCAGCGTATCTTCGAGAGCCCACAGTGACGAACCCTAAGTGTCCTCGGTATTTTGTCTATCGCCAACAACATGTTGATCTTGGTGTCCTCATGTTACCTTTTATAATTGCGTGCTGATACTGGTCACCTTCAAGAGTTGACGTCGGTCCGCCCCTCGGATTACCGTGGTGGCACACCGTTCTCCTCTCGTCACCCATAGTAAAATCTGCTACGAGGTTGAACTCTTCCGGTATACTTCAACAAACATTCCAAAAGGTAAGTGTACGAATTGGCCCAGACTCACTTCAATCGCTCTGCCACTGTAAAGCGTTCTTCGTCCGGCCAGTTGTATACGAACTTCATCTGGGAGACGAAGTTCTCCACACCCCAGGTCAAAACGGATACCAGCGGGGACCATGAAGTCCATCTCCAAATTGCATCTTGGCCTACCATAGGGCCGACCCACACCTTGATAATATACGCCGTTTTTTCGTACAGAATGATACCAAGACGAGTGTGCCCTTCTGTGGTATGTATTGATCCCCCAATACCGACACATTCTTGTCTTGTACTTTCGTCAATCTGGCAGCCAACCTTACGAGCAAAGGCGATATCCAAAATAGATATCTCGGCACCAGTATCAAACAACAAGATTGCGCGATCGTTATTAAGTTTTCTAAAAGGGCCTCGGGCTGCTTAAAACATTTTAAAGGAGCATGTTTTTTTTTCGATAGCCCCTGGTTTCGCCTGGTAGTAGGTCCAATTCCTTCACTGCCTCTCTTAAAAAACATTAGGGCCATTTAACAGGCAACATGAACCACAGGGTAGCTTCCAATCTTCAATATATTCCCAATCTTTTTAGCTGCGGTGTCTTCCTTAACCTCTTCTCCCCTGTGGTACCTAAATCTTCTTCGAAACTCTACTCCACACATGTAAAGACACGACAAGTAAAACACTCGGCTCGTACTAGATTCCAACCTGGCGGGCGTTCTAATTTATTATCTTCTCCCCCTTCGCCTGCAACATCCCAGCGTGTTTGGTCGGGTTGTAGCATTGACGGACAAAACTCTTCCACCAGGCACTTTCCGGCCTCGTGAGCCTTTCCACACAGCTTTCACACAAACAAGCAACGATACGTTGGTTGAACCGTCTTTCCACAGCGGTCGCACGTTAGTCGTTTCCCGCAACTCAAATCACCATTTTTCGAGGACTATAATGCGCGCAATTCTGGTATGAACGGCCAATGACGGGCGAGGTCCCTGGTCACCTTCCTGGTGACGGTGTTGGTCGGCCTTTCGAGTAGGCCGGCCTCTTGGGGTCTTCACACCTGATTCTCTCTGCCCTTCCATTTCCATCAAGTAAATTTATCTCATGTCACCTTCGTCACCTGATTCGTTCGAGCTCAAATCTTCAGAAATCGACTCTTCCCAGGTCGCCTGAACCGCATATACCGACCGGTGGTTTACTTCTCTTTGTCGGGTACCTTTTGCGAAAATTTTTGAACCAAATAGTTCCTTGCCTCGCCGCGCTCTTGCCCTCTTCCTGGCCCTCAGCACGTCTTCCAGTTCGTCCACATCCGCCAGGCGTAACATCGTGAGCTGGTCTGCAGGTTCCGGGTCGCCCAAAGTCTCGATGTAGTGCTCGACATTTTCATTTTTTTTCTTGGGTGATCCGTCCTTGATCTTGATCTTCGTCCTAAATCCAATCCCATTGAGTCGGTACAGGTAGTCCAATGGTGACTCATCTGACCTCTTCTTCGCGTGGTAATGCTGGCGAGCAACTGGCACTCTTAACCCTCAGAACTCCATCTGGAACTCTTGTAGGGGATCCTTCCAGCTTGATCGAACCTAGTGACCCAGTTGGTGATACCATCTCTGAGCTGGTCCAGTTATCAATTAACCGAAGACAAGACACTTTTTATCGTTGGGCGCTTAAAAAATCTCTCTTGAACGCGGTTTTCACCGTGGTCACCCAACTGCGTGCTCAGTATTCGTCTGAATCGCTTCCGTGAAAAACCTTTAGGTCCGATGTCTCTGCAAGTTTAATGAGAGGAGACATTTTGGGCATTTGTTCTACTATAGCTGTCACCATCCTCGCAAGGACTTTCTAAGTCTATGTTGTCTGGTTCGTACTCGCACCATTTCACTCCACATTCACGTCAGTCATAGTATGTCGCCTCGATGCTGCCTTCGTATTTTCGGTGCGTGTTGAACCGCTGTCACCTGTGCTATTTGTGCCTCTGCGGTCATCCTTCCATCTTGGTATCATGGTTGCACCGTGCGTTCCTGTAGAAACCATACCATGGCCGCGTTGAAGTATGTCTGCAAGTTACCTACCATGTTAATAGGCGCGTCCCCCCAGCAGGTTCGTCACGTGGCGGTGCAGACTTCCTGTTACGACCATGCTGCATTCCCATTAATTAAAAATTCGCCCTATCAGGCGCTTGGATGTCCCTCGGATGGAACCATGTCGCCGTTTCGTGAGCATACTGATTGTTATCTTCGCTTCTTTCACAAGCCCTGAGCACCGATGCTCCTGCCGGTCCCAGTGGCACCGTGTCGTATTGGTCAAGATCAGACGAACCGTGTGACGACCGTGTCTTGAATACCTGTCGGGAGAGTCGTTGATGGGGAGGCGCATCACCCTCGAGTTGTCAAGCTGTGGTCGCGCTTGGGGGGAATTTTCGAAATTTGGAGCGTCATCTGGTTATCGCGAGACGGCGTCGGTATTTTCCGCGTAAGTGGTACATTGATGTGTCTGGTGGTGGTCCCAACTTAAATCGCCCATCGCTTGTACGAATTCTCTAGCATGCTTGTGGTGTTTTTGAACCCCAAGTCGGTCAAAGTGTTTGGCTTGAATCTTCCTTGTAACGGGGCACCCTGAAGCTTGTACTGATGACAGTACAAGCTACTTATTCTGATGACAGAATAAGGCGGTGCCTCGTGACTTCACGTACACTCGTACGTGCAGAGGAAGACGGTAAGAAGAAGCGAGTACTTGGTTAAAGTAAAAAGTAGAACTGTATTTAGTATAGTTAATGTCTGCAATAAATCACTATTTATCTTCATCTAACTATGTCTAAATACAAATGTGTAAACCAGTTATCTGCTCACCACTCATTGCGTGCGTCTGTCGTGGCGCGTCTTCGTTCGTTGATATAATGGCTTATATCAACCAATTAGGAACTACTCGTAAGTGCTACAGAATATTTGTCCTTATGACAATATTCTGATAATATAACTCTTATAGTTATATTCTATTAACAATTTCTTATAAATTGTTATGTAACGATTCACCCCGTTACATCACCCCCCCTTAACCATCAGTCACTTTAGTGACTGATTGACTAAATGGATACTCGTCCCAAATCATTTGGGACAGGGTTTGCACTTGTTGGTCCGCGTCCACTTTCCAACATCTCATCGCATGGTTAACAAGCCCATGCGATGCGTGAGCAAGGCCGCCGAGAGCGCGTCTGCACGTCTCTGTGCGGACGCCGAAGCAGAAACAACAGCAACTGATGTCTCATCGGTTGCTGAAGCGACCCAGCCTGTGTCACTTGGTGATGCAGGCGCTGGTCATGAAGACACTCGTGTCTTCACAGAGTACGAGCTCGGTGTCTCGTACTCTCCTGATACGGAAGACGGTTCCGTATCGACGGCGATTGAATCTAAGCCGCCTGCCAAGCGTGGCATGGATGATGCTTTGCGTCGTAGCATCTTTGGTTCATCTGATGAATCAGATGAACCATCGCCTAAGCGTAGGCGCTCGAGGTAGCGAGACTCGGGCGCTAACAGTGGTGTCGGTTCTCCTATGGACACCACTTCGCAACGAGGTGCCAGTACTTCTGTCGGCACATCGCAGGAAGAGCGGGACCGCAATGTGTTGCGTCTCGCTCCTGAGAAGAAGGCATGGATGCCTCCTAAATCAGTCATGGATCACTTGTCGGCGACGACGAGTGATCGTTATCGAGCACGATTGTTCGATTCGTCAAGGATCCATCACCTTGACCCCAGCGCGAAAAACTATCGCGCTGAACATGAATTCTTCATCGATGCTTTCTTTAGACATCGATGGTACAGTGGGAATCATAAACGTGATGGTCCTTCACTGCTTTTAAGCGTGGAACGCCTACATCCATAACCTCGAGGATGTAGGTCGTGACGCTTGGAACGACAAACTTATCAAAGCTCGTGATAAGTTTGAAAAGCGAACCCCGACAGGTGCACGCTACAAGCTGCATCGTCTGTCAAGGGAGAAAGGATTACCCTGCCTCTCTTGGGGAGACTCGTGCCCATGTTGTGTGAACAACTCTGCACGAGCACCTAAGGAGGCTTACCTCCTTACCAGCCCGTGGTGGCGCGTACGTATCTCTACTGAGATGTACGAAGGGATTGACAACCTGAAATCCCTTTACGACCGTGCCGGGAAGACTTTCTCCGGCGGTCCTTCTGCGGCACAGGATGTGCCGCGTCGTACTGCTCAACCAGACCCAGTACGTCGATCATCAGTTGGGAGCGGGGCTCCCAAGAATCCCAGGACGGGGGGTTAGCCGCGCCACCGGACGAGATAACTCGTCCGACGTCCGTTCACGTCGCGGTGGTTCAACAGCTGCTCAACTAGATAGCGCTGGCCACCGCGAGAGTCCTCTAATGGAGGTGGAGGAGGAGGAAAGACGCTCTCCACACGATCATGTGGATCGGTGTGTACCCGAGAGCTTCTTTGATCGCGTAACGCAAGGGTTACGCGACGATCTCGAACATGAGCGGAATAGGCGTCTCCAAATGGCGGACACTGCCTCGAAGCATCGAGCTGAGTTTGCCTTTGCTCAGCTCGAGAACGAGAGATCTCTGACATCTCTTCGTGACGAGCTAAGGGTAGCTCGTGGGATTGCTGATCGGTCTCGGGATGAGATAGCTGCTCTTCAGACCCTTGTTGATGCCCACCATCGGGAGCACAAGGCTCTCTGCGAGATGCTTGAGCGCAAGGGCGTTCTTCATCGGAAGAAGCAGCGTACTGATGGTACGGCTTAAGCCGACCAACGTAAAACGTGGGATGCGTTCGCATCTTACGTGGTAACTCGATCGTGTATGCATTGCCTAGGAGGTGCAATACACGAAATGGGCCGATGTACTTGGGTAGTAGTTTACTGCTACCCAAGTTAGTCACTACATGCTTTGGTAGATTAACCGTAGACAGTAGGACTAAGTCGCCTTTATTAAATAAAAGAGTGTTTGCCCTTCCATTCTTGTCAGCGTTTTGCTTTTGCTTATCCACCGCTTCGGCGATGGAGTCTTGCACAAAACGGACTACCGTTTCACGAGCCAGTATGAACTCATCTACTGGCTCGTTAGCTACAGTGCGCTGTGAGCGCACTGCAGCAACAACAATCTTTTCTTCAGTGAGGGCTTCCGCACTATCACTGGCATCATCTTCTTCAGTGAGGGCTTCCGCACTCTCACTGGCATCATATTCTTCAGTGAGGGCTTCCGCACTCTCACTGGCATCATATTCTTCGATATCGATGTTATCGATATCGGCATCAAACGCAATGACCTCTTCGTCAGAGCGTGATGAGCGTGAACCAAATCGGTTTTTGCTCGCGCGAGTCCCTTCCCCCCTTAAACCAGAGTCACACTCTAGTAAGGTGGGTACACGCGGATGGCGTAAGCCATTCACGTAATAAAAATGGTGTATGTGTCGTGGACGCATGCACCGAGTTGTTGATGGCAAACTCTACCATTGGCAAGAACTCACTCCAACTCTTAAAGGAGTGTACGTATCCTCGAAGTATCTCTTCAAGGACACGATTGGCACGTTCCGTCTGACCATCTGACTCTGGATGATCAGATGTTGACATCTTCAAGCGCGTTCCGAGTGATTTGAACACGGAACGCCAGAAATCAGCAGTGAATCGTGGATCTCTGTCTGATACGAGTTCACGGGGCAACCCATGAAGTCGGAAGATGGTGTCGATAAAGACACAAGCACAGCAACTTGCTGTGATTGACTCGGGTACAGCCACAAGGTGTACCATTTTGCTGAATCTGTCAACAAATACGAGAATACCTGTATTCCCGCGTGCGTCTTTGGGTAACCCGAAGACGAAATCCATTGAGATGGATTCCCAGCACTCAGCCGGAACCGGTAGAGGCTGTAAAGGTGCACGCAGTGAAGGACTTGACTTCACTCGTTGACAGACTTCGCATGCGCGAACATACTTTCGCACAAACTGATACTGGCGGGGCCAGTAAAAGTCTCGACTTACCGTGAGATACGTTTTCTCTCGGCCACGATGTCCTCCTATAGGAGCATCGTGATACTCGAACATGATCCGCAAACGCAGATCAGTATCATCTGGAATGACAACACGTGGTGTGTCACCAGTAACGGCTGTATAATACAGTAAACCGTTACGAGCAGTGTATCGATCTGCATCAGATCGATACGCAGACGACAATCGTTTCAACGATTCTCGAGATGGTTGGGAGAGATGTGTCAACAACTTCACTATCTCACCATCTTGGGCGTATGCCCGCCTCACATCATCATACAACGTTGTAGATGGGACTGAGGACGTCATAACCGCAACAGTGACTGTCTCACTGTTGGGTTTCGCGACTGTTTCAAAGTCGGGACGACGTGAGAGTGCATCAGCGACGACATTAAGTCGTCCTGGTTTGTACTCGACCGTAAAGTTGTATTCTGCAAAGAATGACAACCACCGCGCCATTCGTTGTGAAAGGTGCTGGCTGTTCACTGCCGTGCGTAAGGACGCATGGTCAGTGTAAACAACGAAGGGTCTATCTCCTAATAGATAGACTCTGAACTTCGCGAGTGCATACTTCATGGCAAGGAGTTCCTTGTCATGCACTGGATAGTTCCGCTCAGCTGGTTGCAGCTGACGCGACTGATAGCAGACGACGCGTTCAACGCCTTCAAGATCGTACTGCATTAATGCACAGCCGATTGCGAAATCGCTGGCATCACAGACCACATGAAATGGCCTGTCCTGATCGGCTATTGATAGGACTGGGGATTGTATCAAGCTCTGCTTGATACCCTCAAAGGAGCGTTGACATTCAGCGTTCCATAACCACCTCTCGTTCTTTTTCAACAAACAAAAGAGGTGCACAGTCATCTCGGCGTAATTGCGTGAATACTTATGCAAATACGCCGCTAGCCCAAGAAATTTGCGAAGACCTTTGACATCAACCGGCACAGGCCAGTCGGTGATCGCCTTGATCTTTTCGGGATCAGGACGTACACCATTCTTACCAACGATGCACCCAAGAAGTGGTATTTTGCTTGCTGTAAATATACACTTCTTGAGGTTAGCATACAATTGATGCTTTCGCATGATTGTAAGAACTTGTCGGACGTGGTATTTCGCTTGCTGCAAATATACACTTCTTGAGGTTAGCATACAATTGATGCTTTCGCATGATTGTAAGAACCTGTCGGACGTGGTACCTGTGAACCTCAACGTCCGACTTTCCATCCATAGCTCGACTATGGATGAATACTTCATCGAAATAACTCGGCGCGAATTCTCGTACTGGTCTCAACAGATTTGATACACATCTGTTGAACATGGCAGGGGCATTACTAAGCCCTTTTGGCATTACTAGCCATTCCTAGAGCATGCCGCTAGGCGTGCTAACTGCGGTATAGGGTATATCCCGTTCCCGCATAAGGATTTGATAGAAGCCATCCATCAAATCCATGGACGAAAAGATGGTACTCTTTGACATACCATCAATGATTACGTCCTTCCTCGGTATCGGCGTCTGAGCCGGTACCGTTGCAGCGTTCAATTTGTTGAACGCGTGCACTATCCGCCACCCTCCTGTTGCTTTTCGCACACAGAAGGTCGGAGAGCTATGTGGGGAAGTTGATTCCCTCACATGGCCCGCAGCTAAACGATCGGCAAAGAACTTGTCGATCGCAAGTACTTGTTCACGAGGCAGTGTCCACTGCTTCATGACACAGTACTTCGAGCCTGGTTTAAGCTCGACCTCGTGTCGAATACCTTTATCCTTCGGTAATTCGCACGGAACAGTTTCAGGCAATACATCCTTGAATTCAACCAAATTTTCATAGAGAGGATTTTTCTTGAGCGATTCCCATGATTGGGAGTCATATCGCTTAATTCGTGTCTTTTCATCTAGGACACTCTCGTCCATAGATGAACTACTGAGAATTCTCTCGTTCTCAGTGAACACTGTTGCTGACCTTATGTCGGTTACACACTCGTCTTCAGCGACGAGTATGCTGATCTGATTGACTTTGCCACTACGCAGATCACGCAAGAACCTTTTATGTTCGAGCGTTGGCAACTGAGTGATCTCCGAAGTTAACTTCGGAGGCGCAATCAGATCAAGTGTATAAGCGCCTACACTTGATCCGTTATTGACTATGACATTCAATGTCTCTGTCATTTCCTGGGGACTTATTCCCTCAGGCTTCGAAGGACTTATTCCTTCGGCTTCCCGGGGACTTATTCCCGCGGGTTTCGGGGAACTTATTTCCGCCGTATTTGTAATCTTGGGACTTATTCCCTTTACTTCCTCTAGCTGGGGTTGCGCAACCACAGCGAGATCCTCTACGAAAGACTCTCCAGTCGATCTAGGATTATCGTTTTGCTTAACCTGAGCGATCGATTGTTTCTCTTCTAGATGTTCCCCGCTAGGGATACATCTTTGTCCCAGTCCACCCGACTTATTCGAGTGGTGGACCTTCGGCGCAGCCTGTGTTTCCTCACAGCCGCCGGAACTTTGCTCCGAAGTGTAACCGTTTGGTACACTAAGGTTTTGTGCAGTCGTACTAACGACCGTACCACAAGTGAGGCCATCGCACTCACTCGTAGTACATCCACACGCTTGTGGACGCTCCAAAACGTTCATCAGATGGCCATCTGATGAACAAGCGGCAGGCATCGTTACTGTTCGATGTTGCCAGTTTACTCGTGGTTCGTACCTTCTGAGCCACGGTATTCCAAGGATGACATCAAATTTGTCATCCAAATCCAATACGATAAAGTCATCGTCATATTGGGTATCTTCTAGCGTATAGTGGATCTTCACTATACGCTTCATGACGGTTACGGATGCGCCTGTCGCAAGACGTACCGTCATCCTCGTAGGGAGGTGTGTCACATTCACTGAATTTAAAGTGACCATCTTCTAGCGATTGGCGTCGCACAAAATTGTTGGACGCCCCACAATCGACTAGAGCTCGAAGGGACAACTTATTCGTCACTTCGAGTTTCAAGGTAATGAGTGAGACCTCATTACCTAGAGCAGCAACGCACAACGTTTGTGTGTTGGGAGCAACCTTCATCAAGAGGCCTACAAATTCTCTTGACGTTGCTAGACCAGTAGGGTGCTCCGCACCTACTGATCCTGTCCGTTTTTTGACGGTCCATCCCGTTGTTGCGTCTTTGCGCCAACTGCGGACCCTCGTCCCTGCCCCTTTCTCATGAGTGGACGGTCACTACGCCCAGTGTCGCGAGACACTGGACGAGGGGCACTACACTCGTAAGCGTAGTGTCCTGTCTTTTGACATCTGTTGCATCTCTGCAACTTCTTGTAGCCTGTAGAGCGAGCCTTCTCGCTCTCTACATAACAGAGTTCCATCGGCTCTGGACCTCCGTTGTCATATCGTCTCGGTTGACGATATGATGTCGAGCTGGCGCGAGCCTGTCTCAGACTGAAGTCTTCCTGCTCCGCAATGGAAATGGCTTGTTCCAGTGAATCTAGTTCGAGTCGGAACAGGTGAGTCTTGACGGGACCATTCGCAAGACCCTGCATGAACACCGAAACCAACGTGTGTTCATCCACCGGATTGGAACTTATGCAACTCGTGAGATGTCGTATGTGTTGAGCGTAAGCGTGCACATCACGCTTACCCTGCTTGAGCTTCAAGAGTTCGGTTCGAGCCCTGAACTCAGCTCTAGGCGGTTCAAACGTTTGTCTGAGCCGCGACTTGAAGACTTCCAACGACCTAAACGCATATGGGTCGTGCAACTTGAGCCCCAGTGACCAAGTCTTGGCACGTCCTGCCAGATTTGACTGGGCAAATGCAACTTGCATATCCCCGTCGTCGATGCGACGCGCCCTTATGGCGTCATCCAATTCGACGAGCCATCTCAAGAGGGAGTATTCTTCGACTCCCCTATACTTTGAGATGTCAATCTTCAAGGTTTCGGGTCGACGCGAGTGCATCGACCCGCCAGCAGCAGCCTGCTGCTGTCTCAACAGTTCAAACTGTTGAGCACCCTGTTCTCTCAACAACTCTGCTTGTTGAGAACCTTGTTGGTGAAGCAAGGCTACTTTCTCGCGTTCTGCGTCAAGTTCATTTTGAATGAACTTGGCGATAGTAGCATGTTGGGCATCTCTATTGAGAGCCTCTAGCATGACGCTAACAGCATGGATGCCCATGGTTGAACCCATCCGTTCAACCGCATCCCATTCGACATCGCTCAAATGGGAGTAGCCGTCACGCGTAGGGTGAAATCTTTGGTCGTCTTCATCATCCAACATATTCATATTGGATGTGAACGTGGTCCTTGGACGGACTACGAAGTGCTACCAGGGGTAACGGGGCACCCTGAAGCTTGTACTGATGACAGTACAAGCTACTTATTCTGATGACAGAATAAGGCGGTGCCTCGGAACTTCACGTACACTCGTACGTGCAGAGAAAGACGGTAAGAAGAAGCGAGTACTTGGTTAAAGTAAAAAGTAGAACTGTATTTAGTATAGTTAATGTCTGTTAACAAACCACTGTTTATCCTCATCTAACTATGTCTAAATACAAATGTGTAAAACAATTATCTGCTCACCACTCATTGCGTGCGTCTGTCGTGGCGCGTCTTCGTTGGTTGATATAATGGCCTATATCAACCAATTAGGAACTACTCGTAAGTGCTACAGAATATTTGTCCTTATGACAATATTCTGAGAATATACCTCTTATAGTTATATTCTATTAACAATTTCTTATAAATTGTTATGTAACGATTCACCCCGTTACATTCCTGCAGCCTTGTTTACCTCACGGAGGAGCGTAACTAACACGTTGACCGCCTCGGTGACCGTGCGAAGTCGTGGAAGGGGCGACACCGGCGTCCCTGGTAGTCCAAGTAGCTGGATCTCAAGGGATTTTGCAACGGGGTCGCTTGCCAAGAGTGTGTTCAGCTTACGTCGGTGGTGGGCAATGGTTACTACATCTTCCGACCAGCCTAGCGGATCTGCTTCGGAAGGGCCCACCGACTTGGTGTCTGCTGGCGTCGTCTTCTTCGTGTTTTTCGGCCTGGACTTGGCGACATTAAGGATCTGTTCCTTAGGGGTCATAGCTTTCCGTTTTTTGTCTTCGGCTGACGTTCCGACCTGGTCGATGGTCCGGATGGGTCGGTATTCATCGACTCAGTGTCCCCAAGCGCTTTTATCCGGGCTTTCTTCGGCTTGGATTTGGCCAATGTAGAAGTTTGCTTTTTCGGAGACCATTAATTTTCGGTTAACACCGTCGGCTGTTGGTCCTCTGGGGTATGATAGGTTTTGTGACCTAAGAACTACTCAAAGAGGATGTAGGGATGGAAAATTAGTAAAGAAAAAATGTTTTCTTTATTAATTTTAGCCTCGACCTTTTTGACCGGACCCCTCCCAAATCCGATCAGTCCTTCGACTGTTTGTTTTTGTCTTCTTGTGTCACAGGCGATCTGTCTTCCTGTGGTTCTTCTGTCTCCGATTCTATCTTGACCTTAACTTCTTCTTTATCTTGGGACTCGCGCTGAAAACCCCGCGTATTCCGAATATCCGGGCACGCTCACCATTGTGGTGGAATGGGTTGCTAAAACTGTTTGACGAGACCCCACACCACTTTCTATGCTGGACTACCGACTGTTGGACGGGGTAATCTGATGCCGCTTGTGGTCTTTAATTCACCTTTTGTACCCGTCTTCTGGCGGGTTTCACTCTTTGGAGGACTTGGTGATGATGTAGACGTCGGCCTTGATGGAGGTTGACCTGAGAGGGGCCGAATGAGCAGGCTTTCGTCGGGTTCAATTTAGGCGGCCGGTCGATCTACTTGGTCTAGAGTGGTCTTACAACCAGTTGTATCAGGTGCTGGTAGATCCTGTTCTTTACTTGTCTCAGGGCCGGTAAACGCCTGGCTTTTGCGTGTCTTCTCCCTTACCACTAGGGAATGGAGGCCGCTTCCTATAGCGGGCTTGAGTTGAAAGGGGGGGTGCTACTCCACGGACTTACGGGACAATGTACTTCCTGGGGTTCTACTTCCGCTCGTGTCTTAATGACAACTATGTATTCGACGGGTGGTCCAAACAGATCCCTGGCCCGGAACAGGTCGGTTTACTTACAAGTTTATTAGCGAAAGACACGTCGTGCTACTTATATCGCAAATTGAGTAGCATCAAGATTGTCCTATCCTTTAATCCCCTTTACTCTATCTTTGTCTTGCACCTGGGTTCGCTATGATGAGTGGCCAGGATTCACCAGACCTTGAGAGGCCAAGTCGACCTATGGGTGGCCAGGTCGGCCTACAGGCGACCGAGGCCCAACTTGGGCGACCAGACCGATAGACGAGTGGTTGATAGCAATAAACATCGGTACCGTTGAAATGATACCGTCGGTCGGTATGACCCTGTCAGCGGTAGCCTGAACTGCTCGTCACGGTTGGACACAACGGCCGCTTCTTACCGGAGACCCCCAAGTCTCCGGTTCCTTTTACAGCTGTGAGGTCTCGTGTCCATCGAGCTCTTCGCCTCTTGAGTTCGCCATTTTCGAAAACTCGCTTCTACACATGTCAGCCCATTTCGCCGAACTAACTCGAAGATTGTTGTGCTCGTCTGCTAAGAATTCATTGGTACTATTTAAGAGTTTACTACACCACAAAAGGGGTTGTGGCGCATTGGCATAGGCTACGCCGCACGGTAATACCTGTCCTATTGATGTGACCTCGCATTTCGTTCAGGCTGCTAGCAGCGAATCGAGAAATTACGTGCCTTGGTCCACAATACGATCGATGTTTTTGATCACAATCAACGTTTTGAGCTTAGCAAGTGCGAGGCGTTGCGCCTCAGAGATTCTAGATAGGCTCTTTACACCAGCAGACGATGAGTCGCTATAGACTGTGGTATATGTCTAACTTAGAGTTCTACTAAGTGTAGCGGAACAACAAATTTCTTAGTCAGGTAAAGACTTACGACTCCCAAGTATCCTTGTTCTAAAGAACTAAGTAATACTAATTTCTTACCGGTCTACAGTTTTTAAATCTAATCAGCAAAGATTCATAGGGGCTATTTGCTCATAGGGTATCAAGTACTATTTATGAACTTCAACAATTTTAAAACCGTACGCACAATGCGCTTTAGAGTATGCGCCACAGGATGGCTACTACATTTTTCGATTGACCAAGGTCTACGCTCGACACGTGTTTACAAAACATCAAAAGGGGAACTGACATATTTTTCCCAAGTGTTATCCTTAGTACACCTCGTACAAAGAAAATTTTACAATGGATAAACGAATTCCAAGAGTCTTACTTAGCTATGTCAAAGATTGATATTGGTGCATCAATCTGTCATCAAAAGATGACTGAGGTTAGCAACCACATTTAGTATCAAAAGTAAAATTTGAGGATGTACGTAGGTGTTTAAATTTCGGCGGTAGAATATTGTGATCTCTTTACGGCATAAGTGGTCGTAGTATCAGTGTATATGGCTGCAGCATTAATTTTAATATTTGGCCATAATGCCGGCTTAACAACACAGCCAGACATATCAAAAATTAATGATAGACTTTTTTGTTGCACTTATACTATTGTTTTTTAGTAATGGTTGTTAAACACACAGAATACTATAGAGATCACCGTCATCAATTTTCGGCAACGGTAGAACACGTTAAAGACCCTGGATAGCTTTACAGACAGCTTTTTATAGATTCTATTTGTATGTATACCATCGAACGGCCAGACAAATGTGTTTGCATTTAAATTTAGCAAATTCAAACACAGACATATATGTCTGGCGGTCTAAAAAAATCTAACGTCTTATATCTCGTGCTCATGCTTGTATGCTCACTTTCTAAATGCGCTTCAACATAGATCCTGTTTAAAACAATACAAAACTATTTACATCATCACAAGGGTCAATTTTACCCTATTAGATGTACAAGGAGATAAAAAGATCAACTACGCAACTGCGGGAGGCCAAGAGAGTTTCATGTCACATTATCATTTCTTTTGTCGGCTTTCAGCATCCTATCTGATGCAATAATTTAAAGTGCTTTTATAAGCGATACCTGATGTCCATCAAGCAATTTAATATGTTGCTCCTAGACTCGGTATAATCTCAAGCGTATCACCCACTATGATGCATGGATTTTCGAATATTGCTTTTCTACTCCACTTCTTGCGCGGTCTTAAAAAGCCTAGTTCTGACCTATTGGACCTCTGCATGCACTTATACTTGGCACATTCTTAAAAAAATAAAATAATTACTTGCTCTTGTAACAAATAAAAGATTTTACCTCCTAGAAAGCCCAATCGTTTGGCTGATACGGTGAATGATGGAATTGGCAAGATATTAACATTAATTTTGTCACGGGGCACCCTTTGTTCGGGCTGCCACGAAACTTCATGACACTAGTAAGTGCAGAGGAAGTCAATCTACTTGAACGACTCGGTCAAGTAAAGGTAAAAAGAGAACAGTATTTAATACAGTTAAGCTATCAATGTAACTCAATCCTTATCTATCTATGTTAAACCACGCCGTCGTATGAAGACAACCTGCTCACCACTCATTGCGCGAGTCTAGCAGCGATTGGTGGCAATATGTGGTGGATATGTCTTGTATCAACCAATCTTGGAGCAGCGCATGAACTTAATCCTACAAAGGGGATACTATTCCTTCAAAATTATCCATCTCAAATAGTATTGGTAGAATAATGTCATGCTGGACAATATCATGTAAAGGGCTACCCCGTTACATCACCCCCCCATAACCCCTAATCACCCGTTGATTGAATTACAATTGCTTGGGACAGGGTGACCACCGTTGGATCGCTCTGGGATAGGGAGCACTTTTTGGTCAAGCTCCATTCGTTTGCTAATGCAACGCATGGTTTCAAAAAACCACGCGAGCTGCTACTGCAGCAGCAAGAAGGGCGGCAGCACGGATGCGTGCAGCCGTGGAAAGTGCCTCTCACACCTCAGCATCAGACGATTCGTCGCCTGTTGTTGTGAATCCTCCACGTGGTGAGTCTCCAGGTGCGACAGGTACATCCGTTGCGTCTGCAGCGGGTACCTTGAGTCGTAATCAAGACGAGTCTGAGATCGAGCACATATATTCTATCGAGTTGAGTGATGCATCCGACGAAAAAAGGCGACTCCTCACGCCTCCGGATTACCCGGGGCGGACTCTGCAAGAGCCAGGTTGACTGGCTCTGGTCAACGCGGCGGTATCATGACCGAGATCTTCGGATCGAGTGATTATTCCGATGAATCTCCGCCTCACGCAAGTCCTTTTAGCGATAGGACGCGTGGGGATGGTGGTGATGCACCTTTACATCACCACGAGCGAAGTAATTCAAGGTTTCGGGGTAACACTGGTGCCAGTGCTCATGCTGGCACCAATCAAGAGGCCAGGGACTGAAATGTCCTGCGCCACGCTCCCCAAGTGGAGTCTCCGTGGATGCCGCCATCCAGAGAGTAGGACCGGTTGACCGGCACGACTATCGAACGGGACCAAATCCCGTTGTTCGATTGCAGGACGATTTGCCCACCTGATTCCAGCACGGAAGCTATCCGTGCTGAGGAGGAGTTCTTCACCGATGCGTTCTTCAACCATCGGTGGTACAATAATAGCCGTGTTCGAGACGGCAAAGCCTTGGTGCAGGGATGTAATGCCCTCATCCACAACATCGAGTGCGTCGGCCGTGAGGCCTGGCTCGGTAAACTTGATGCAGATCGCATCAGGTTTGAGAAGCGCAACCCAGCCGGGGTGCGGTACAAGTTGTACTGGCTTTCAAGAGAGGCAGGATTACCCTGTCTCTCGTGGGGTGATTCGTGTCTAGGTTGCCTGGACAATTCGAGCCTTGCCTCTTAGGATGCATTCCTCCCTATGATCCCGAGATGGCCGATGGGATTGACAGTTTGCAATTCCTGTACTCGCGTTCGGGGAGGTCATTTTTCGACGGCCCTTCTTCAAACGCAGCGGGTGGGTCTCGTTGTACTGCTCCACCAGACAAAGGACATCAACAATCAGCTGGGCACGAGGCTCCCAGCTGTCCCACGCCGGTGGATAGCCACGCCAGCGGACGAGGTAGCTCGTCCGGAC